TGCCCGAGCCCAGAAAGTCCTCCGCTGGAGTCAAACTGTGGTAGGGGGTCAGTTTCTCTCACTCACCTCGCCACCAGTCAGTTTTCGTATATGCCTCCTTGTCCGTCCTGTTTCCGACTCCGTTCGCAGACTCCCGTTCCCAGAGCTTCTGCGCGTCTCTCCTTGCCGAGCCGCTGTGGAGGCAGCCAGCCGCCGGGCGGCGGGAAACCTAAATCGCGGTTTCCAATGGTGCGGGGTCGAGCCTCCACACTGAGTCTTTTCTGTTCCTATTTTAGCGCCAGGACTGTATTCTAAGTTGGATTCTCTCAGCCCAGTTCGTTCCTGAGTCAGCAGAGCATATCTCTACCGGTTCATGTCTCCTTAGTCCGCATCATTCCTGACCTCTGAGCCGAGCCTTTCAGAGAGCCTCCGGTAGTTGCTGTTGTCTGTCCGCCATGTTCTCCCGGCTGATTTTGCTAAGTCTTATGAATATTCCTTTGGAAATAGTTGTGTTCAGCGCTAAGAAAGTTTTGCAAATGCTAGTAAGGTTCTTTTCTCCTCATCTTCTCCTAAGAGCTACTTAACTGAGTGTGTCTCCCTTTATCAGTGGCTGCCAAGAAGCTCAGAGCTAACTTTAAAGGCACCGTTAGCAGATAGGTGAGCTCCTAGCCTCTGTACGTGGGTGCTTTTCTACCCGCCCCCACATCCCAATCCAACCCTGGTTTTCTTCTCACAATCTCACTTTTTCAAGCCTCATTTATCTATTATTGTCACTACATAATACATTTTAAAACTAACAGGCTTATAATACATGGATACACACAATTTGGTTAGGGTTTTTTTTTTTTTTTCCATTTCTTTTTGGTTTTGGCTCTGGGGACTGAGCCCAGGGCCTCATACATGCAATGCATACATACATACTCTACCACTGAGCTACACTTCTAGCCCCTGCTTAAGTGGTGCAGGGGAGAGAGAGGAAGAGGGAGAAGGGAGGGGGAAGAAAATGGGGAGAAAGAGAGAGAGAAAAATAGGGTGAAAACTGAGAGGGGAAAGAGAGGGAGAAGATACATCAACAAAATAATTGGGGTCAGAGGCCCCGACTGTCCACATGCAAATCTGAGCTCTGCCACTTCCTATGCATGGGACTCCACCTGAAAAGTGTTCTCATCTATAAGACGCTAACAGTGACTACTTCACTGTTACTATGAGGGCTGAGTTAATACGTGAACAATGTTGTATAGTGCCCACATCTACTAAGTAGCTGGAAAGCTAACAGTAAGACTACTCAAGTCCTACATTACTGCCACTTGAGAAGGAGGGAAAAAAACCAAATCAAGATGTGTAAAGGCTGGGAGTGAGAGGAATGACACAAATGGAAAAGGGCTTGCAAAGCCCACGGAAAAAGTCAGTGAGGTTCAGATTCAGAAAAAAAAAGAGAGAGAGAAAGAGGGATTCAGGGGGCTGGGGATTTAGCTCAGCGGCATAAGCGCCTGCCTTGCAAGCAGGCAGTCGTGAGTTCGATCCCTGGTACCGATAAAAACAAAAAAGACGACAAAAAAAAAAAAAAAAAAAAGAAGGATTCAGATTCAGAGGAACCCAATTTTCCTAGAGCAGAGGTCAACAAACTTTTTCTAAAAGGGCCAGCTGGCAACTAATCTATGCTATGGGACCACTGCTTTTGGGGTATCTGTCTCAACTACTGCTTTTGGGGTATTTGTCTTGACTACTCAAATCTGGTACTGTTATTGCAAAGCAGTCTTAAGTGATATACAAACAAATGGTGTGGTCATGTTCCAATCTGCCTTTGTTTATAAAAACAAATAGTAGTTCAGTTTGGGTCCAAAAGCAGGCTTTCTGGTGAGTTCTTACACATGCAGACTTCTACAGCTATTGGGTCTTCTGCAACAACAGGCATAGACAGGCTCCACACCTCATGAGGAATACTTAATTAGATAGTAAAGCTGTAGGTGGAACTAATTGTTTTCATTTTGGGTATTATCAATAGGTGTTGTTTGCAGCATTACTAATTATCAGTACAAATTGAGATAAACATCTTGTGCAAACCATCATGGGTGGCTCTGGCTTGGCTAATGCCTCCAAAAAGAAACACTGGCTGCATCATAAGGAACAGAAGAGTAGGCTGGCTTCCTGGAAGACCCTACATGTCCTTGGGCAGGAATGTGAGGCTTCTGGACTGATTGGCTTTCACGTTGGCTGCAGAAGCAGAGCTCCTCAGCACCTCCTCAGATGCCCTGAGCACCAGAAGAAGCATCAGGGGCTGGGGATTTAGCTCAGCGGCATAAATGCCTTCCTTGCAAGTGTACTGTGTGAGTTTGATCTCCGGTATCAATAAAGAAAAACAAACAAACAAACAGAAGAAGCATCATCTCCACAAACCAGGTGTCCTTTCCACCTTGACCTGGATTAACACCAAGGCAGAAATCTTCTTGCATAAGAATCTTTATATACAGAAGCACCAACTCCCCCTAATCCTCTGGTTCATTTGTTTGTTTGTCCATTCTTTCTTCCTCTCTTTTTTGAGACAGGGTCTCAATATGTTGTTCAGCTTGGCCTTGACTCACGAGGTAGCCCAAGTTGGCCTCAAACTCATGGCAATCCCCCTGCCTCAGTCCCCAGAGTGCTGAGATTACAGAGTGAGCCACCACACTTGGCCCCTCTGGTTCTTACTTACCCAACCCACTAACCTCTACTCAATTTCAGAACTCTCTGGTGAGTGTGTGGTGAATACACCCATGTGTGACCTCATGGCTGCCAGTCTGACTGATGTGTGCTGAGTGCAGGAGACTAGAGGAACGGATTCGCTGCAACATATTCTTTCAAAAGGGAGGCACTCACTGGGGATTCTGAGAGACCACAGAGGCCAAGTCAGTCACCTTGGATGTCGTCTGACAGAGGTAGTGCATGTATAAACTGCGCCTCCAGATACAAGCAGGGCAGCCAGGAAAGATGATGCATAAAGAACTTCTACTGGTGAAAAATGCCCTTGACAGAGGAATGAAGTGAAAAAAAAAAAAAAAACCCACACAAGAAACTAATCACACAGTATAAAACTTACTTACTAAAAAAGAAAATAAAAGACATAGAAAAATTTTCAAGGAAACTCTTCAAATGTGAAGAGTTGGCTTCAGGCTCTTGAAGTTCAAGTGAATTGGAGTTTTTTTGGGTTTTTTTTTGGGGGGGGGTGGTTTACTGGGAATGGAACTCACAACCTCACACTTGCCAGGCAGGTGCTTATGCTACTGAGCTAAATCCCCAGCCCTGAGATGGGGTTTTTGCTTATTGTTTTCTACTTTCCTTTATTTTCTGTACTTGTTAATTTAGTAAACAAAGGACAAAAGAGATCAGGTGGGATCCAACCAACTGGAGATGTGGGGGGCGGGGATCACCCAGCAGGACCCACAGCCACGGTTAAGACATCCGTGGTGCCAGGATGCACTCAGGAAGAAACGCCTGCAAGATGGTCAACTGAGCCCGCTGCAGAGTTCATATTAGATAACTTCATAACACTTTGTTTTGTGCATGTGGAGTTTCCCTAACCAAAAGGCACAGGAGAGCTATGAGCAGAAATTGAAAGTGACTTAAGCAGAAATAGAGACTAAAAAAAGCAGCTAAAAATAGGGTATAGTATGTGCAAGGTCCTGAGTTTGATCCCAAGTACTAAAAAAAAAGAAAGAAAGAAGTTTCCACTTTAGACAAAAAGGAAGATGACCTATCTCTGGAATGCAAAGACATGCCCAAAGGTCAGACTTACCACCTTCATAGCGAGGATGTGGCTTCCTCAGCCTCACCAGTACAGACTCCAGATAGGACAAGACAGGGTTGTCTGAAGGCTCTGTCTACAGCCAGCTGGCCCCCTCCAGGGGACACCTCCTTCGTCCTCAGGCTCACCACACAGATCTAGGCCTCAGCTTGCCTCATTCCACTTACACCTGGGAGATGATGACCCTCCCCACAATCTGTCCATAGCACTGTCCGTAAGCACTGGCCTGTGTTCCCTTGGGGAGGGCCATACTGCATTCTCAGAATGTTCCAGGGTGGTGCCACTTTTGAAGAACTCTGTCCATTTCAATAGAAACATCCTTGGCAAAATGTCCAATGAACATCATTTTATGTGTCACCTAAGTAATTTCACAAACACCAAAACCTATTGAAGACGAGAGTTCCTGACTTTTCACATGGATAATGTATGCCACACAGTGTGCTCCGCAATACCAGTCTTTGCAGAGCCAAAACACATGGAAGGAAGGTGGCGACAGGAAGTGGAAGAGAAAGTGTAATGGCCCCAATTCACCACTTCCTCTTTCTATTCCAGGAATAACTGACTGCCTAAACAGCGCATACAAAGCATTTAAGCTCACTTTGAATCCCTGCAGCCAACAGACAACCCAGCATGTGAGAAAGAGATGCACTACAGCGTCAGCAGAAATGGGGTACAGTCCTGATGCTGCCACTTGGCAAGTGGATGTCTTGGGCAAGTTGTTTAACCTTTTTGAGCTTCATTCTAAAAGTCAGTGTGGTTGGAAAAACACAGTATTTGTAGAAAACTCAGGATAGGGCCTAAGACATGGCAGGCATTCAAAAATAGAGATGCAAGAGCCAGGAATGGTGGCGTGTTCCTGGAGTCCCAGCTTCCAGGGACACTGAGGCAGGAGGAGTATAAGCCCAGGACTTGGGCTGGACTAGGCAACATAAATAGTGCCCATTTCTAAAAAGGGAGTTGAGGGGAGAGGGAAGAAGAGGAGAGGCAGGGAAAGAGAGAGGGAAAGAGAGAGAGACAGACAGACAATGAATGCAAGAAAAAGAAAGAGAGGGAATGGGAGAGAGAGAAGGAGAGAGAGAGAGAGAACGAACAAACTTTCCTAAGATAGAATTTAGGTAAAATCATCACCTGCAACACTGCCCCTTTCAATAACACCCTAAGAAAGTCCATCTCTGCATCACACCTGTTTAGATAACACAGAGAGAAATCTTCCCTCCCATGTATGTGCAACTTCAGTTACCTGAACAGTAATAATTGGCCCTCCATTTTGATAGAGGAGAGGCTTCATCTTGGGCAGAAGGACTCCTAGCCACTTATCCACAGAGGCAAGGTAATCTGGAAAAGAAGCCAGGTTTTATATCATCAAACATCACCACATACAGTTTAGTACAGGGACTCCAGTACAGTCTTACTACACAAAAGCTGCCAGCAAGGTGTATCCCAATATTCTGGACTCAACGACTACCTTCTACAGTGGGGTAGTTATATGTAACAAAAACCTGGCTGGGCCTGGTGCTGCACACTTGTCATTCCAGCACTCTGGGAGGCTGAGAATCACAAGCTGGAGCCCAGCCTGGACAACTGGCAACTTACTAAGACTTCATCTTGAAATAAAAAATAAAACAATTAAAACAAAATAGGCCTGAGACATAGCTCAGAAAAAAGGCCCTGAGTTTATTCTTCAGTACTAAAGGAAAAAAAGTCTGATAAATATTGCCCTGCAGACTAGTGTCTCCTGAGATGAGTTTCTCAGTGGACAGCATAATATTCCTGGCATTTGTCCTTGCCATGGACACAAAATCAGGTGCTTGGAGACAGACAGGCAATGTTTGCTGAATGACAGGAAGGGAGACTAAATGCTGTATCTTCCCCTCAACAAAAATCAATCACTTTTTCCTTCTAAAATTAAAGCCTCATGAATTACATGTTTACATTATTAAAAGGGGATAAGAAAAGTACATGCTTCATAAATTTACCATGAGGATTAATGACAACACAGGTGAGAACATTAATCATGTACAAAGACTGATGAACAAAGGGTGATACAGTAAGAGGAAAATGTATATACAGTCACTAGCTTTTTATAAGCTGCTGTGTAACAACTTCCAATCACCACCAATTCTACCATCCCCACAAGAAATTAGCCTTCAGGAAATATACATGCAGCTTACAGGGATCTGCTGAGGGTTCAGGGCTTTTAGCTAAAATAATCTCCCCTGGTTTAAAAAAATGAATGATATCATTCATCACTCAGTAAAAGTAGACAAAGGAAGAGAAGACACTGTACCACACAGCCCAGTGAGACCTCTGTGGAAACCAAGTCTGCCATTTTGATTAGCAGATGTTAATCACCGGCTGGGTAACACCCAAAGCATATAGAAAAGAAAACGAGCACTGAAGTTAGTTGGTCAACCACAACCAGGGTTCAATGCCAAATCAGAGAGTTACCAATTTATCAGTAAGATCTGGTCAAGTAGTTCAAGAAAGCCTATTTCCTATGTGTTCAATGTCTGGTATAGTGTCGTGAATGGAAATTAACATTCACACTTTCACTAACTTTCAGAAATATTTGTGCAGACATACCTCAGCATTCAAAATACCTGACCTTCCTGATATAAATAGTGTTTTATAAAGTCTCTCAAGACATAGCTAACAACTTACCTGGGTCAGAAGAGCGGAGAACTATAGACTGTTTCTCTAATAACCAAGCAGGTAATCCCCCCTAGGACAAGGGGAAAAAGAGGGAGTCATTACAATGTCGATTTTGTGAAGGAGTTTAGAGGAGATAGCAATTACTATCAGCAGTGATGGAAAGGAAGGAAAGCTCTTGGAGAAGCGGCACTTGAGCTGGCTTTGAGGTTAGTAACTTTCAGGGAAATTGGAATTTGGGATGTAGTAAAACTAAGATCATTATGTTAATGCAGTATTTTAAAATCTAGACCCTTTTCATATAGATTATTCCCCTTAATTTCACATCTACTCTATAAGGTAGACAGCAGTAGTGCTATCTGACAGATAAGGAAAATGACCTTCGAGTGACTATCAAGAGGAGACCCCACACTGTGGCCCAACCTGCTCTTTTCTGCTTGGGCACCTTTCTAAGTGACAGACAGGTGTGCTGGGTGTGGCCATAGGCTGAGTCAACACGACTGTCATTTAAATAGCTTTAGTTCACTTTGCCCCAATCCCATACTGCCAGCTCAGCCCCACTCATGCTCACCGGGCGGCCAGAACCCAGAGCGGCCACACTCACCATGTCCCACTCAGCACAGATGTAGGGCCCGGGCCTCAGGATGACCAGCAGTCCCAGCTTATGAGCAAGTTGAAGAAAATATTCCACATCATGGTCCCCAGAAAATTCATAATGTCCTGGTTGGGGCTCATGAAAGTTCCAGGGCACGTACCTGCCAACACACACAGAGCCCATTTCTGGACAAAAACAGGGTCAGGCTGCAGGAGAGGAGGGAGAAAGGGGCCTTCCCGGGAGCACTGCTCACATGTGGACAGGAGGGCGAAGAAGAGTGGGCAGAGCATTGAGAAAACATATACAGAACTTGAAAATAAAGCAAAAAGATGACTACATTTCTGTTATTGCTTGGTTTTAGAATGTCCCCTGGACCCAAATTCTCTTGTGTGTGGAAAGCAGTGGGTCATGAGGGTGGGTGTTGTAGTGACAGGTGCTGTTAAGAGACAGGCCTAGCCTCATCAGAGAGGTGGTCACTAAGGTGGCCTGGACAGGTTGATCTCATTCCCTAGCTCCTCCTTTTGCTCTGTTTCCTGGCCATCGTGATGTGAGCACCTTCTCTTCACCATGCCCCTTAGTCATCCTGTTCTGTAGCAGAGCTGTCAGCTATGGACTAAACAATAAGCAAAAGAAACCCCTCCTCTTTCAGGTCGTGGGTGTCAAGTATTGTGTCCTAGTGATGAGAATTTCCTCTAATTGTTATAATGGAGATTGTTCAGTGGGACCACACAACGCTTCATTCAGTTTCTGGGAAACATATTTTGTTTAACTATTGACACTAAATTATGGGAAAGACTTATTCTTTTATTTTTGTTTATGAGACAGGATCTCACTATGTAGTTCAGGCTGGTCTTGAACTCAATAGGTAGCCCAAGCTGGCGTCAAATTTGCAGTAATCCTGCCTCTGCCTTCAGAGTGCTGGGATTACAGGCATGCACCATCATGCCTGCCTAGATAGATTTCAAAGTTACAGATATATATATATATTTTTTTCACCTTGTATATATACAAAGTATATGATTATTGTTGTATAGAGAAGACAACTCCAAAGGTTATTGTTTGATTGCCTTTTATAATATTGACCAGTTTTTACTTCTCAAGATAAATTTATTTCAATATGGCTTTCTTGGCTAACTATAAACTTCTCTTCCTCAAATTCTCTTTTGATTCAGCTTTACCATTTGGCTAGCACCCTTAGTCATGAGTTAAATAATTTCATTTTGTCTTTGATATCAGGGATTAAGCCCAGGGCCTTGTTAAGCAAGGGATCTATCACTGAGCAACAGCCCAGCCAGCAGGTAAGTACATTTTTGACACATATTCACTATTTGTAAATCACGTTTTTATTTTACTTTGTGTAAAAAACAAATTTAAAAAAATTTAAAACCAGACTAGATGGTACATGCTTGTAATCCCAACACTTGGGAGGCTGAGGCAGGAGGATCACAAAAAGCTGTAGGCCTGCCTGGGCTACACAGTGAGTTTTAGGCCAGCCTGAGCTACAAAGTGAGACCATGACTCAAAATAAAAGAGAACCCATTCTGTGGAGAGTAAAGGAACACAGCTCAGACAGACAGTTCTCCTGAAGGAATTCTGAACTATCTACAGAGATGAAAACTCAGGACCCACAGCCCTTCCCCTCTGGTCCTCTGTGTGGCTCCTGGGAAGAGGCCTTGCTAGGTGTTTTACAGCAACTATCCAAACAAACCAAACTGGAACACTCATAGGTTTATGGCCCACAAAGAACACCCGTTCTCATTTACTCTGATGTTGAAGTGAAAAATACATTCCGCCAGGCATTCCTATAATTCCAGCTGCTCAGGAGACTGAGGCAGAATGATTGCAAGTTCAAGGCCAGCCTGGCAAATTAGCTTGTCTCAAAATAAAATTTAAAAGGGTTAAGATGTAGCTCAGGGGCAGAGCATTTGCCTAACATGCAGGAAGCATGAGTTCAATCCCTGGTACCTCAAAACAGAAAGAAATGCAAGTCAGAAAATTTCTTTTGGGTAGTAGGGATTCATCCCAGGGCATTATGAATGCTAAGCATAGGCTCTACCATTAAGCTCCACCTCCAGCTCCCTTATCAAAACAATTTTTACAGAAAGTGGCAGAAAGAAAATCTTTCAATACCATATGACTTTTTTTTTTTTTTGTCTTTTTCCTTTTTATCGGTACCAGCAATCAAACTCACGACTGCCTGCCTGCAAGGCAGGCGCTTATGCCGCGGAGCTAAATCCCCAGCCCCAATACCGTATGACTTTAAAATACACTTTGGCAGCTCACTCAGGACCCCTTCAGTCTCTCTCAGACAGTTTTCTTTCTCTCAATAAATATATTCTGCTTTTAATAAATAAATAAATAATATAATAAACTGGAAATATAATAACATGTTATTATTGTATAAAATTATATGTGCCTGTATAAGGCCTAGGCAAAATGAAAATACCTTGTTAAAATAGTAAGAAATATAGTTACTTTATTTCCTATGATGCTAAGGATTGAACACTTGCTAGGCAAGTGCTCTACCACCGAGCTACCTCCCTAGAGCCAGAAGTATACTTTTTTCCTGAAAAATAAACTTTGCAAGTTATAGTGGTGGTGCATACTGTAATTCTAATTACTCAGGAGGCTGTGGCAGGAGAATCAGAAGTTAGAGGCTAGCCTGGGCAATTTAGGGTGACCTTGTCTCAAAACAGAGGAGCTGAGGATGTAGCTCAGTGGGTATAGCACCCCTGGGTTCAATAACCAGCATGAGGGGGTGCAACAAGAAAACCTCCAGCCCCTGCATAAGAGATTTTGTCAGGAGTAGCATGACAGGAAGTAAAATGACCCAAGCTCCCACAAGCTCCCTGGTATCCTCACAGCACAGGAAACACATTTAAATATGGGATCACCCATTCCTAGCACAAAGGTTCCTTCATGATCATGCTTGTGTTTTTTTTTCTCTTCCACAATCCCATGATTTCCAGGTTCCCTGGAACAGACAACCTTGGTCTATCACAACTGTGTGTGCAAATTAAAAGAGGTGACACTGGTTTCACTCTGCCAGTGACCTCAGAATAAGAGTAAGTGGGACTCTCCCTAACCACCTTCTAAACTGTCTAAAGATTTTCTCATTCTTATCTTTAAAAAGTTATCAGCAATCCACATCAGAACTGCAAAAACCAGAGAGGCCAGCAGCACCAATTAGTTACCAATTAGTCACCATCAACAGCAACAAGATTTAGGAGGAGGAAGAACAACTAGGGGGAGATTCTACAGCCTGGGCCTGTCCAATACCCCAGCAGGACCAGGATAACAACAGCTCCAGGAACCTTCCTAAGCGTGAGGCTTACTCCCCTAGGATCCAGATGTTATGGCTACCTGCAGTACCCTTATGTTCAAATTCTAGCTGGGCCTCTGACAAAAGATACACCCTCGGGCAAACTTCAGTTTCACCAGCTGTAAAGGGGAATGGAAACGCCTGCCTCAGAGGTGAAATCCTGGGTGTAAACTGCCCCACACCTGATAAGTGTTCATCATTGTTGCCTTTGATATTTATTTTGCGATCTCTGGTGATAAAGTGCAACTCCGGGAGAAGCAGTTAATTATCTGAAGAAGGACCAGCCAAGCTCATGACAAGCCCCTCCCAGGAGGCTACACTGGACTATATCCTGTTTCTGAGTGATGAGGCAGCTGTTCTGAGAAATGCAGCTGTACCCGCTCCAGGGGTGGGTGTTGAGGCCCATGTGACAGCCACATGCCTGCTTACTTACGTCTGGATGGCATTCAGCCCAGCCATCTTCATCTTCAGCAGCCTGTCTGCCCAGTAGAAACGGGGCACCCGGGAGTAGTGAATACTTCCTGAGATGTAGCGGAATGGTTGGCCGTCCTTGAGGAAGCAGTCCCTGCTGTAGTCAATCTCAAACGTCCGCTGGGTGGCATTCTACAGACCAAAGAGAGGGCCCAATGAGCACTTCCACTTTCTCCACTCCAGAAGCAGCTCCTGCAGCGGGGGCAGGCAGCACCCTGCCTCCTTGATGTAATGTGATGATGGGATTAAGGCTCAGTTTCTGGGCCACCAAACAAACCTCTGCTAAGCCGGACCCACTGTGTGTACCCATGTAACAAAAAGTATCAGGGAGGATCCATGACAGGATAGCTCCAGAGACCAGCACCAGCTGGCTGAGATTATATTCCAGGGTACTGTTCACCCTGCTTGGGAACAGAAAACATTGTATCTTTAATGATCCAGGGAACAGGATGGAGGGAATTTTAGGCAACATTTTCGAATTATAGGCCGCGATTCCATTTGTGAAGGATGAACTTAACTCCATGGCAATCCAAGTCTTTTAAAATGAAAAAAAGGGGGCTGGGGATTTAGCTCAGCTGCATAAGTGACTGCCTGGCAAGCACTAGATCATAAGTTCGATCCCGGGTACCAATAAAAAAATAAAAATAAGATGAAAAAAAGAACATAGAGTTTACTGCATATAGCAAAGTATTCCTTTATAAAACTTTTGGTTTGCATACTGGATTTACATTGTGTATGCATGCATGCCTCCCCTTGATTGAATGTAAGATGCGTTTCTAACTTTCAAAATTTTGAGAAACACCACTTCGGGGTCACTTTGGGAGGTAAAATGCTATGATTTGAAAATGAAGATCTCAAAGAAGGGCTGACTTTTAGACAGAGTAGAACACCGCACTCTGGTGGATGCAAGAGGCAATGACAAGTGCTCACACAAGCCCAACTCAGGGCCACTTGTGGGAAACCTGCAAGTCTCACGAGTGGCCCAGGACACTTCCCTAGCCCAGCAGAAACCTGTGGGGATGCACAGTGAGGTCCAGGAGGTAAAGTAAGAGTTAGAGTTAATGCCACAGCAGAAACAGATGGCATGGAAACCAGGCATGAGGGGTGATGGCAAGTTTCCAAGACCAAGGAAGAAACACTCTAAATGTGGTTCTCAGCCTCAGCCACACATCAGAGATGCCTACATGAGCTTTCTGTTTTTGTTTTTTTCAGGACTGTGGACTGAAACCAGGGCCTTCGCACTGGGTTACATCCCCAGCCTTTATATAAATTTTCTTATTTTAGACCGTATCTCACTAAGTCACTAAGTTGCTGAGACTGAGCTCAAACCGTGATTCTCCGCCTCAGTCTCCCACCTCTCAAACTCTCAAACACACCACACCTGGCTGGGGTTTTTGTTTGCTTCTGTGGTACTAGGAAGTGAACATAGGACCTTGTGCATTCACTTTGCCATGAGCTACATTCCCAGCACATTTTTATTTTGGGACAGGCCTTTACTAAGGTGCCCGGGCTAGCCGCAAATTTGGGATTATCCTGCCTCAGTCTCTTCAGTTGCTAGGATTATATGCATGTCCACTGTACCTAACCTATACATTGTGCATACATATAAAAAAGCTTTTCTATTTCATTTTAAAGAGAATAAAACCAAGGAAAATGAAACAATAAAATCAATCAAAATAAACCAGAATAAGTGGTACTAGACTTCCAAACCTTATGAAATCAACAATGTCTTTGTTGTCTTCAAAATAGCTGCAGATACCACCTTCAGACATTTTTCAAATCAAACAGAACAGCATAGAATAGAAACAATAAAAACAATGAATGTAATAAAGGACATCAAAACAAGCCAGCAGTAAATATATAATGGCTTCCATAACATGTCTGGCTATCTTTTAAATAGCTGCTCATGCCATCAGAGTTAACATATACAAAACAAAAGAAAATAAAACCCAACCCAACAAAACAATGAAAATGATATGGTTTACAGTGGGAATCTCCTCCCACGAGGTCTGGTTCTTTCCCTCTGCAGTTCATGAATGGTGCTGACTCACAGAGACAGGCTTAGGTCTGTCAAACTTTTAATAACAGCATCAGGTTTTATCTCCAGACCCGCAGGTTTGAATTGGTCTAGGTGGCATCCTGGCATTGGTATTTCTTACATCAACATACAGGGTTGAGAAGCAGTGACTTCAGTAAAGCCCTAGCAGGAGGAAAGTCAGCCATGGCTGGCAGATAGTACCACAGATGGAGAAAACCACGTAGGATGACCAGCAGAGAGACAGCAGGACTGCATGAAGGAGCCACAGGAATATGATGTGGTAAGATGCGACAGCTCCTGAAGCAGGGCCAGTGAACAGTAATGAAGGGAATAGGCCCTCAAGTCCAAGTTCATGGGCCTGGACTTTATGCCAAGAACTCAGGTAACAACTTAAAGAGTGTGTGTGTGGGGGGGATTTAGTTTGGTGGCATAGCACCTGGTCGGCAAGTGTGGGATTGTGAGTTCGATCCCCAGTACCAAAAAAAAAAAAAAAAAAAAAAAAAAGGAGTGTGTGTGTTTCACTGTTTGACTAGCTGGCCTTTTCCTGGAGGACTAAAAAGGAAGCACAGCCATGACACAAAACTTTATCCAGAGCAATTAGACAAGAGAAAGAAATAAAAGGAATAATTATAGGAAAGAAGTTAAACTGTTGTTATTTGCAGAGGACATGATACTGTAGTTAGAAGACCTCCAAAATTCTACCAAAAGATTTCTACATTTAATAAGCAAATTTAATAACATAGCTGGTTACAAAGTCAACACTCAAAAATCAATACACAAGTATCCTGTACACAAATAACAAACTCACTAGAGAGAAATCAAGGACACAACAGGGACACAATACCTTTCATAATAGCATCCCAAAACATGAAGTATCTAGGAATCAAGCTTTGAATGTAAAACATCTCTACATTGAAAATTACAGCACTCTGAGAAAGGAGATTGAAGAAGATTTTAGAATGTGTAATTGCTATTGTAAATAAGAGGAAATGAAAGTGCTTTAAAGGATATAACTGCATGTATGTTTAAGTGTGTAAGATTGATAACCATATTACTAGGTTTTTGTTGGATCGGTGAGTAGAACTATTTGCAGTCTCACTGATTCAATGTCCACTTTGTATGCTTTAATTTTGTAACAACTATTTCTAAGATGACAGTATATAATTTATCAACTAGTGATTTCTTAGTGTTTATTTATTTATTTTGGAATTCTGTATTGTTGCTATCCTTTTTTCTGTTTTGCTTTTTTTCTCCCTAAATAAATTTTTTTTAAAGAGAAGATATTAGAAAATGTGAGAAATAGCCTGTGCTCTTGGTTAGGAAGAACCAATATAGTGAAAATGGCCATCCTTTCAAAACTGTTATACAGATTCAATGCAATTTCAATCAAAGTTCCAATAGAATATCTCACAGAATTAGAGAAAACTATCCTATAATTCATCTGAAACCAGAAGAGATCTAAAATAGCAAAGGCAATCCTAGGCAACAAAGACAAGACAGGTGGCATCACAATCCCTGACTTGAAATTATACTATAAAGCTACTATAATAAAAACAGTGTGGTACTGAAAAAAAAAAAAAAAAACCCAGGCCTGAAGATCAATGGGACAGATTAGAAAATACAGAAACAAGTCTAGACACACTAAGCCACCTTATCTTTGGCAAAAGGGTCAAAAACATTTATTAGGAAAAAGATAGCCTCTTTAAAAAATGGTACTGGAAAAACAGGCTTTGCACTGTCTTTCACCATGCACTAAGCTAAAATCAGAATGGATCAAAGATTTGAATATTAAAACAGAAACATTAAATCTGCTGGAAGACAGAGTAGGTAAAACTCTTGAAGACATTGGTATAGGCAAAGATTTTATGAATAAAATCCCAAAAGAATGCCTATTATCAAGAAATCAAGCAATAACAAGTGCTGGCGGGACTGTGGAGGCAAAAGGAACCCTTCTCTACTGTTAGCTGGAATGCAGACTGGTGCAACCATGTAGAAATCCAATCTGGAGATTCCTCAAAAAACTAGGACTACAGGTCCCATTCAACCCACACATTCTCCTTCTGGGTATCTTCCCAAAAGTAGTAAAAACATTATAATGCAGTGATATATGTGTACTATGTGTATAGCAGCACAATTTGTAATAGCTAGGTCTTGGAAACAACCTAAACTCCCATTGACTGAAGAATGGATAAAAAAGATGTGGTATTTTTACACAATGGACTACCACTCAGCCATAAAGAAGGATAAACTGGAGATTTTTATAGGTAAACGGATGCAATTTGAGACCATACTCATATGTGAAATAAATAAGACACACATGTACAAATATATTGTCTCACTAGTGTGAGACACTGAAACAACATATGTATATATATATGTACATTAAAAAACTAAGATAGTTATACTACTGATTTCTCTGTGTTCACTGAAGAGAAAGATTTGTGCTGTTATTGCTCAGACAATTGAATGTAGATATCTTGTGCTCTGGGTAAAGGATTTGGGGATGACAATGCACAATGTATGCACCATTGTTGTTCCTTGATTGGTAGGTTTTGAAATTGTTTTAGTTTTTCTTTCTTTTCTCCTTGAAATAAAACAGATTTGAAAAAATAAAAAAAGTAAAGAAGGACTTGGAAGTTCAATAATAGAGTGTTTAGCATAAAAAACAAACATAGAAAAGAAATGGAATCCAGGACTTCCGGGAGAACATGGTGGACAGATAGCAGATACTACGGAGGCTCTCTGAAAGGCTTGGTTCAGAAGTCAGGAATGGTGCGGACTAAGGAGACATAAGCCGGTAGAGATATGCTCTGCTGACTCAGGAATGAACTGGGCTGAGAGAAACCAACTTGGAATGCAGTCCTGGTGCTAAAACAGGAACAGAAAAGTCTCGGTGTGGAGGCTGGACCCCGCGCCATTGGAAGCCGCGATTTGGGTTTCCCGCTGCGCAGCGACTGCCTCTATAGCGGCTCGGCAAGGAGAGAGACACGCGGAAGCTCTGGGAACGGGAGTCTGTGAACGGAGTCGAAAACAGGACGGGCAGGGAGGCGTACACTGACTTGTGGCGAGGTGAGTGAGAGAAACTGACACTCTA